TAGCGGGGATGCGGTTTTGTGCCTGACTTTGCCGGGGGCTGGGGGTGCGCGGGGGCCGCCTGAGTGCAGGCTGGGGTGCGGGGTGCTGGCGGCGCGATGGAAGAACGGGACTGCAGCCCTGCAGGGATGTCAGACGGGTTACCGTGCTGCTAGCAATAGTGAGCTGTACACTCGGCTAGGGAACAAGCCTCCTCTCTCTGCTCTGCGCTGTCATCTCTGTGCTCATGTGCATTCTCATATTCACAGCAAAGAAAGAGGAGTCCTGCAAGGCACTGGACCTGGCAGAGTACACCAAGAATCAGTCCTGGTGGCGCAAGCTCTTTGGGCCAAGCTCTGGGTCAAGTGCTGAAAAATATAATGTAGCAACTCAGCTGGTGATTGGAGGAGTCACTGGATGGTAAGGTGATGGAGTAAGTCATGTGGATTTGGGGGGGTTTGGCTCCTGTAGACAGCATAGGGCTTCTCTAATGCATGAAGGGACATAACGTGCTAGTTAGCAGAAGATTGTATCTGTTTAGTGGGATGTCCTGTGAAGCCTATGAGTGGCAAACAGCACTGCCCAGTTGAAGGAAGATTAGACTCAGTTCTGTCTCTTCATGCATTTCCTGCTCTGTGACATGAGCTTTTCATAGAATTTAAACCCAGAAGGGACCATTATAGGATCAGAGAAATGTAGGTGTGCAGAGGACCTCAACAGGTTATCTCCATCTCTTAGCACTGAGATAGGACCAAGTAAATCTCTAGACCATCCATGACAGGTGTTCAACGTACTCTTAGAAATGGTCCATGATAGAGATTCCGCAGCCTCCCTAGGACGCTTGTTCCAAAGCTTAACTATCCTTATAGGGTCGATATTGGGAACAAAATTTCAAACTAAGTCTCCCTTGCTGCAGGTTAAGCCCATTCCTCTCACCTGCATTCGGTGGGCATAGAGAACTGTTGGTCAGTGTGCTCTTTATAACAGCCCTTACCAGTGATGTAATCTGTCCATGTTGTTGTCCCTCCCGCCATCCCATTGCTGCACAGTGCTAAGGCTGGGCTGGGGTGTAGTGGGGAGGAGGTACAGCCGTGGTCTGAGTGGAACTCTCTCCCCACCCTCCATGGCTCAGATTCTGCTGCTTGCCCCAAATGTTCCTTTGAATGCCTCTTCCACATGCTCGTTTCTCAAGACTAAATATGTCCAGGTTTTTAACCTTTCCTCGTAGGTGAAGTTTTATAAATATTCTTTCGCTCTGCTCTGGATGTGCTCCATTTTGTCCATATCTTTCTTAAAAATGTGTTGCCCAGAACTGGCCCCACGCTCCTGCTAAGGTCTCACTGCACTAAGTAGAGCTTATGTATGACACGCCTCTTGAAAAATAGAATTCTGGTCATCCGGTCTGAGCTCATGCATAGGACAGGCCATTGGACATCATGCAGTGATTCTTGCATCAAACCCAATAGTCTGTGGTTGAAATAAAGTGTGTACTTTTAGAAAGTCCAGTCTTGATTTAAAAACTCCTACACTATGGAGGATCCACCACATACCCGGATCAGTTGTTCCACACATGCTTGTTAGTCTTCTAGGATGACCATGACCTTTCTTGCTTGGGGCTAAGTATTGTCTCTTGGGAGTTAGAACTTTCTTGTCTCTGTGTACTCCGAAACAATTTTTTTTTTTTTTTTTTTTTGCTCCTGCAAGGATGAATTGGCTTGTTGGTAGCTTGTGACTCTGAAGCCACTTCTAGATCTTCCTGTTTCACAGTGCTATTGGACTGTTTTCTCTTCCTCTTCTAATTCACACATAGTATAAATCAGGAGTTGGGTAAGGAAGAGAGGATTACTGTGCTGTTTCATAACCGGAATAGTGAATCGGTATCATCTGAAATACTTGATGTTGGGTGATGTCAGTATAATGGATAGGGCCCTATTAATGTAATGTAATGGCCAGGAAAAGCATGTCCTGCATTGTAAAATAAGCCCTTCCTCCTGAAATCTGATCTCCCTGCAATTCCTCACCAAGCTGGGGAGGGACAGGACTTGTTCTCTCCCTGCACTGCCTCTCAGGGAGCAATCAAACCTGTGTCTGGGCGTTTCCCCCTTCTGCTGGAAGCTCTGGGATTGGCAGCAGCACTGAAAGTTCCTGCAGCCAGAGAAGGCTTGTGGAGGTGGGTCCGATCTCTCCCTTGCTGCCAGGAGCATCCCAGCGTGGCCCGGATTTGCGTGCTCGTGCTCCCCAGCACGCTGTCCTGCTGGGCCAGATCCTTTAGTTTCCCCCTGACAAGGCACAGAGCAACATGGACACTGAACCAGGTCAGCTTTGGGAGGGCTCAGCATTCAGGAAACCAACCCTCAGAAGGAACCAAACCCCATATCTGTCTTACTCTGTGTAAAAGTTTGACACAGTGAAAACTTATGAGATCAGCCCATTTCATCTCCCCCCCTAGGTAACCCTTACACTGGGCTTAGCTAGTTCCACTAAGAAACTTGTTGCATGAAAATTCTTACCCTGAAAAAACTGTTCTTATCTCAGGTAAAGAGCGAGTCAGAGTTGATCTTTACTCTCTCTGGGTATGCTTCTTCCAAGTTCTTTGTATCCTCTTTGGGTATGCCAGGCAGTTCCAAAGGCCAGCTGAAGACAAAAGCTGATGGCTTCCCATTTCTTACACAGACTTTCCCCAGGGCTGGAATCCTTGGTTCACCACTGCCCATGGAAAATACCAGGTTCAAGATGGATTCCAGTTCCACGTGGCATGGTCACATGTCTTTCTAGGACCAACCACAGTTTGGGTTCACAGGACAAACATGAATCTGATGATTGTTGATTTGAGTGCTGATCATTAGGTACCTGAAGTATCACTAAAGACGTTTAGAACTATAAACCAATTCATACTTCATATTTCTAACTTCATGTATAAGAATGATATATGCAGAAAAAATCGGATGTTCAGATTCAGCAGACTGTTGTAGTTATAAAATGGATGTTACATGCCCTGTTTGGATAAAGCACTTTCAAGTTATGTATATTCATAAGTCAATTCTCATGAAGCGTGGGGGGTGACTGTGGCATTTGGTTGCATTCAGTTCTGTACTCTCTGGTTGTAGGTGTACTGGCTTCATCTTTCAGAAAGTTGGAAAGCTGGCAGCAACAGCAGTAGGTGGTGGCTTTTTCCTACTTCAGGTGTGTATGATTGGTCTGGGCCAGGGGTGGGCAAAAGACTGCCTGTGGGTTGGTGGCTCTGTCCTGCCATATGTTTTTCTCTGGCTCACCATGATCCTCTGAGCTGGGGCTGGGTGCAGGTTTGGACGAAAATGTCCTGCATCCCAAAGGGATGCTCAGGCAGCCTGCCTGCCATGGCCCCAGCCACGCCACAGCCAGTGGCTAAGGGCAGGTACATCTCTGCATGGCCCTTGGGGGCAGTGGGTCTCCGCAAACTGCCCCAGCACCAACCTCAAAGCTCCTGCTGGCCAGTTTCCCCTTGGTCACAGGCAGCATGCAGAGATCCACCGCTCCCGTCTCCCCTGTGGGTGTACAGAAATACATTTGGCGGCAGCAGCTGGCAGGTTTGAGTAGTGTGATGCCACTATGTCATGCGGGCAACCTGAGTGGTTGGAGCTGCCTGTGGTAAGCTCCTCCTGGCTAGGGCCACAACCTGCCTCTGGCATCTCCTGCAGCCCAACCCATGCCCCAGGTCAGAACCTCCTGCTGCACCTTGAATCCCTGCCTGGAGATCCCTCCTGCACCCAGACTCCACACCCCTCTATTAAAATAATAGGAAAGTGCAGCCTATGACCACTTACAAAACTCTTGGAGTAGCCCCCTGCTTCAAAAATGATTGCCCACCCCTGCTCCAGGGTGGTGCTGAGCTGCGGGTCCTGTGGGTAGGGTGCTAGCCCACCTATCAGGAGACCTGGGTTCAATTTCCTGCTCTGCTGGAGACTTCCCGTGTGACCATGAACAAGTCACTTCAGACGTGTCTGTTGTGCAGCTCAGGCAGACACACCCACACCAGCATGGCTGAAAGTAGCAATGTGGAGGGGCTGGCATGGTCTGGGCTCTGGCTGGGTTTGTACAGCCTGTGCCAAAGCCTGCACTACTTCATCTGCTAGTGTGGGTGGAGCTCATGTGGGTGTCTGCCCAAGCTGCAGTCACAGCTGGGGTTGCAGTGGGTACTACTGGGTCTCGAGTCTCCTCTGTGACACGAGGAGAATAGCACTGCCCTGCCTCTGCGGTGCTACGAGAGTGAATGTGTTACAAACTTTATGGTAGTGGAGAGACAGAAGTACCTTTATGCAGGCCCGCTGCCTCACGGGGGTGGGGCTTCACTTCTGATAGCTGCAAATGACTCAGATCTGCATAGCTTTAGAGCTACAGATTTTTTGAATAGTGATAGAAATGTAGCCATGTTAATCTGGTGCAGCTGAAACAAAATACAGGACTATGTAGCACTTTAAAGACTAACAAGATGGTTTATTAGGTGATGAGCTTTCGTGGGCCAGACCCACTTCCTCAGATCAAATAGTGGAAGAAAATAGTCACAACCATATATACCAAAGGATACAATTGTCACAACCATATTTTCTTCCACTATTTGATCTGAGGAAGTGGGTCTGGCCCACGAAAGCTCATCATCTAATAAACCATCTTGTTAGTCTTTAAAGTGCTACATAGTCCTGTCTTTTGATTTTTTTGAAGTTAGTGCCAGCCTAATGGCCTTGTAATAATCATGCCCCAGCATGAACACAGCCCGCTTTCAAATCCCAGACTGAGCCTCTTCCTCTGTGGACTGGCAGCACGGCAGGAACTGCTGCAGGCAGAGCGTTACAGGGAAACTACATGCTAAGGAGCAACTGCTGGCCAAGGTGCCCAACATCAGAGGGAACTGGCCATGCCTACTCAGCCATGTTGAATTTGGCTGTTATGTAAGGGTTCTGAGTGTGGCATCCTCCGGAGTGTGGTTAGGAGAGGTCCCGTTGATGTTGTCTTTGGGGTAGGGATGTAAGAGACTAGTTGACTAGTGATGCAGCTAGTCACTCTCCTGCCTCCCGCTGTCTGTCAGCAGGGAGCAGGGGAGGCAGAGGCAGTGGGAACTGATGCCATCTCCACTTGCGCCGCTTCTGCCACGATTCTGCTATTGAAATGTACAAGAGCTTCAGCAGGGCTCTTCCTACAGTTCGAAGGTGGAGGTGCCCATGTAGACTAATCGAGTCGTAGAAAGAAACCCCAGGCAAAATTCGATGAGTTAATCTAAATGTAACATCCTTGTTTGGGTGGTGCAGCAATGAAACGCCTCATTGGCTGAAGTATCTACCCTTAACTTTAAACCCCTCTCTTCTGGGCGCGGAGCAGTGTGGCCTGTGCTGGCTCGCAGGGCCAGAAGAGTGGAAAACTCAAGTCTAGATTTCACTGCTGTGAGAGACAGAATGTGACCACTAGACTCTATCCAGCGATCAATCCCTGTCTCTTTGTTCCAGCATTTACATTGTGCACAACTGCTTCCCCTCCCCCACTAGTTCTCCTTGTGCTGTTAGAGACATGCACCTTTAAAACACTGTTCAGGCAGCGTCACTTGTTGACCCACCACAAGAAGACAAAATACTTATGAGGACACCTATTAATAAATTATGCCCTCCCATAGCAGCAAATCTAGCATGTGATACTTGAACGATACCAGTATAGCAAGCTGGAGGAGGAAATGCAGTTGGTGCCAACTCTGCAAAGCAGAGAGGCTGACACAGGTTAATTGTAGAGTGTGTAAAAACCTCTGTATATGAACGTCCATTGCAGGATTATGGTAGGATCCTATCATGTTGGGGTTGATTCCGCTTTGAGCAGCGGGTTGGTATGGATGACTGCCCGAGGTCTCTTCCTACCCTAATCTTATATGATTCTATGAGAGGTAAGCAGAGGAGTCCTACATCAATATTCCCTCTAATTTTTTCCATCCCTGTTCACAATAAAGTATGTGAACCGCCAATAGAAACACGTGCTGCAGGTGCTCTGCTAATCAGCCGGGCAGCATTTAAATCTCTCCTGGGTGGCTGCCAAATGCTCAGCTTATAGGGAACACTGCTCTATGTAACTGAATTACTTAGTTTATTTCTTCATGTCCCTAGCTTGCTTCTTCCCTTTCTATTAATTTAGTTAGTAAAATAGTTTCTTGCTAACCAAGATAAGGTGGTGTCTTCTAGGGTTGTTGAGTGGGTTATTTTGATTAGCAATGGGGCAGGAGGGAAAGGAATTGCTACAGGTTGTGCAAGAGTCACTTGAGGTTTCTTCCCACCTCTCCAATGTAGATTGCAAACCACACCGGGTACATCAAAGTGGACTGGAAGCTAGTAGAGCAGGACGTGAACAAAGCCAAGGAGCAGCTGAAATTTCACAGCAGTGGCAGCAAACTGACCCCAGAAGTTAAAAGCAGAGTTGATGAGGTGAGACCACTTCTCCTTCCCAGAACTTTGTCTGGATCTATTGAGATTCTATTGGGAAGGGTTGGGAGCTACTTCTGGGGCTCATGGACTCTGAATCTTGTTTCAGCTTTAAGGGTTGCTGCATAGGAGCAAGATGGGAGTAGTGGGCAAATCCACTAGCTGTTCTGTGAGATTGATGGCTTCCAGATGGTGTTTCACTGTACAGTGTCCTACAGCAGACCCCTGGGAGGAGGAAGGAAACTCTGGAACCTTCTGGAAGGTCTCAGAGCAATTAGGACTGTTAAATAGTACAGCGTAAGAGTGCATCAGTCACTCGAGACTCCGTCTACACTGCTCAGTGCGTGCAGGGGGGTTTTGGTCCCTGTGCCTCCAGTCTCCTAGAACCTTGACTAAGTGTGGTTCATCTATAAATAGCTATAAACGTGAGGGCAGGTGGTTGGACTCTGACTCTCAAGGTCCCTTCCAGATCTAGTGTTCTGTGACTCTGTGCTTCAAGCTCCTAATGCCTGGTCAGACTGTCTGTAGCACATTGTATTGCCATAGCCATAATGTGCAAGTGTTCTAGGGGGGCTCCGAGGAAGCACATCTGTGGAAGGGGAGCGAAGCGGCACCAGCTCACCTGCTATTAATGGTGGCCATTAGGGAGGGAAAGCAGCAGATGGGAGGGCTTGGTGCTGTCTGATGTGAGTGACTGGTGCTAGTGTGGTGTTGACTGTCTTCTCCCCTGCCCAGGTGATAACATTTCTGAAGAAGAACATTATCCTGTCTGGAGGGTTTGCTGGGGGATTCCTGCTTGGAATGTCTTCATAGAGACTCCTCAGAACTGACAACTCTGTCCCCTCTCATCCTCCCACTTAGTAAACAGTGGGTTGTGTTGACACTCCGCCGCCTCAGGCCCTACTCCCTCTCCTGGCTACACTGCTGCTAATTTTCCTTCCTTTCTCTGTGCGGCGTTCTGCTGGTGCTGCAGTGAGTCCAGAGGGTCGAGACCCTCAGTGTGTGCATCTTGATCTGACTCCCTCCCCCTGCAAATGTCCCACTGCGGATTGCAGGGGCAGTAGTAACCCCATGAACAGCCTGCAAGAGAGGTCTGAGAACAGGCACAAGACTGACAGATGGAAGCTCTCCTTTCCAGTGCTCGCAAGGTTCGTCAAGTTCCGTGCACCCCTATTTTTGTATTCACTCTTCCCTGGTAACAGGAAAGCTCACACTATGGGAAAATGGTGTTTGCATGGCTATCTGGTGTGAATTGTCCATCTTAGAACGTGCTCTGAAATGGGCACAGTTGTTTGGCGAAACAGCTAATTCAGACATGGCAGAGCAAGTGCATGGCAGAAACACTATTGGAGCTCTGTTCTTCTGCCTTCATCCCTTCCTAGACTTGCCAGTATGCTATCCACAGATGATCACTTGAGTGGTGTTTATCCGTCCCGTTGGCACTGCCAATAGAAATTGTGAGTGTTGCATGTTGCCATCTTACAGCCTTTCTTACCATGGGTTTTGAAAGTCATTGGGTATCCTACCATTTAGAAGGCATTCTCCTCTCTCTGCAGCTGGTGTCTCAGCCAATGAATTTTAAAATGTGCTGATGCTGGATGTTAATCTGGCAGAAAATCTGCCTGCAATGACTGTGCATATGACTGAAACCTGCACTACCAGCTCCATCCAGTCCTGCACATGTTTCCATAGAGACAATAACTGCGGCTTATCCCTAGTATCACGTCACTATTTCTGACGCTAATGCCTTTTTTCTGGCTAATATGCAGTTGCAGCTCCCTGTAGGTATCTGGTGCACGTGGGGCTTCCTGGGCAGATGGAACTCTGAGCAGTATACCATGGGATGTGATAGCCTGGTGGAGGATTCCAGTTTGAGTGCAGACAGCAGCTGTTTGGGATTCACACTCGGTCTAGAATTATTATGAAGCCAGAAAGCCATTTCTCTCCCCTTGCAGAGCAGATTCTGTCTGTCCTCTGCAAAAGGCTGAATCTCCCAGGCAGTCCCCTATACAGGTGCATCTTAAAATCCCTGATGACCACCTTTCTGCCTGTCATATATGCCTTTACGTGGCACTAGGTGGTAAGATGCATCATACCCTGTATACTGGGCATGGGGGGAGAGCCATTCCATATGTTCCTTCTCAAAACAGAAACTGGCACTTTGGTGCCATAGAAAGAGGAGGGGGTATTCCACAGCAGCCCAGCATGCCCACCTCTCCCTGCAAAAAAGACAGCAGGCTTGTCAACCTATCTCTCTGGGAACTAGACAGCGGGCAGGAAATGCATGAGCACTGTTTATTAGCTCTACCCCTGCCTCTATTAACATTTCCCATTCCAACAAAAACAAGCACCTGGGTCCAGTTGGTTTCACCTGGAGATGGGTTCTGCGTGGCTTGTTACCCAATCCTGAGCGCATCTGTTCTGCAGGGGAAAGTAAAAGTCCCAGCGATCCATTCAGTATTGCCTGCCACTGCGCTTTCCTTCTGTCCCTGCTCTGAGGTAGCTTGGAGAGCATGGTGCTTCAGCTGGTAATGAGCATCTTCTTGCTGAAGGCTGGTTCTGTTCCCCTTCTGAAATCATGCCCTGGAATTGTATGGAACCCCTGGCCCTCGTGTGATGGCCAAATGCTATTCAGACTGTAAGTGTCCATGGCACGAGGATGCACTTTACCTATCATGCTGCAGTGTTTAGTGCTTGGTCTGACTGGCAGCAAGGGACATACCTAAAAGAATGCCCTGAGTCCTGGTCCTGTTAGAGCAGCGCAGCTTGGCAACTGCAGCTGTGTTTTCAGGAGAGCCTGATTGCATCTGTGCAAACTTTATTTTGCTCTTAGTCTGTCCCCTAACATACAGGGTTTGCAATTATGTGACTGACTTCCTCCCAGTTCCCATGGGTAGACTGCAGACTGCCTTTACACCAAATCTATCTTGTATTCTGGCTGACTATAGCAGGGCAGGAGAAACTGGATAGACAGTCGGGTGCTGCAGGAATTGGGCAGTGAGGCTGGTGCATGATGACTCGTTAGGATGGCAAGGTACTGTAGGAGGAAATTCTGTGGAGCTGGATGATCTTGATGAATTTATGAAAACATCTTGCTGGAACTCAGCTGCTCAGATAGGAAAATAGTGTCCCTACACCGCCGCCTGGGGTATGAAGTAGCCTTTTTATTCAGATTTCTGTCTCCAGCCTCCTTCCACAGACTGCTGGGTGGACATGTCTCTCTCCCCCCCCCCCCCCCCCCCCCCCCCCCTTCCCTTGGGGAGTGGCAGTTTTGGGATAACAGCTGTAACTTGGCCAAAGCCTTTGGCCTGGTACCTCACTCCCTCTTAGCTGGATCATCTGCTGGAAATTCAGCAGAGTTCTGCTCATGGGGCTCTAAAAACTGGCCACGAGTTCTCTTGGCTTCAGTGTCTTCCTTTCCAGCTGCCATTTTTTTCCTCTTGATGTACGTGCAAAGACTTTGCTGGTGCTACGTTGCTGTAGCCTGAGAAGCAAGCAACTTGTTACCAAACCTCAGGGCTATTCCTAGCAAAAACTTCCTGTTAATCACCCCAAATCCTGGGAAATAGGCTCATTAGTGTAACCAGAAATATACTGGCAGTCTGCTCTGTCCCTGAGACACTTAAAATAGCTATTCTTTGTCTGGAATATTAGAAATTGCTGCCACAGAGCGAAGCAACTTCCAGGAGCAGCCAAAATGTCTCAAAGCTGTCACTGGATGGGAAATCAAACCAGCAATTTAAGTTTTGATCTAAAAATGTGGAGAGAGAAAGGAGGAAGGCCTGGAGGGCATCCATGTTGGGCAAAAGGAAACTTCCTTTGTACCTCTCCTGAAGTCGTGTGTGCAGCAAAAGCATTTTCAGTTTTCACATGGGTGCCAAGATGAAATCTTAATCCCTCTTTGGTTTTGTTTCAACAGTCTCTAGTACCAATGCCAGGAAACTGTGGTTTAAAAATACACTAGGCTTTTAAGGGTATTTTTGTACATTGTATGTAGGCGCTTGTTGAAGTGATATAATTAAACTGTTGCTTTAGAGTCTACTCACTTGTCTTTGGGGGGTGAGTGTCTATGCTTCCTGAAAACAATCTCTCTTCCCCGCTCCCTCCCTGCAGACACTGCAGCTAGTAGCCTAGAGTAGTATCCAGTACCGTAACAGTCTGGGGGAGACACCTCTGGGAGGAAGGCCCAGATCATCACAGATGCTTGGGAAACCAATGAATGAGGCTCTTAAATACCTTTGGGGAGCTGGGTCTCGGTATCAGCAGAGGGTTTAATTGGGAGACCTATTGTGCAGCTGCTAGTCACAAGGCAGACATGGGTAAGTTGGGTCTTACCTGAGCACTAGCTTTTAGTTCACATTGGCTGTGCAAGGGACTTTCTCCAACCTTCTCCCTCTATTTCTGGGCTGCTAACAAGCTGCCTTTCCTATAGCCAGCCAGAGCCCAATGGGAGCCTGTTAGGGGCTATCCTATGACTTCATGCATTTCTCTGGGTCTGGCTAAATGTGGACCTCAAAGGTAACATTCCCATAAGGGACCCTGGCTTAGCGAGGTTAGTGTTGCTCCTTTTACTAGTGGAGCAGTTGGTACAATCTCACTTAGCAGGTCTAAGAGATCTTAAGTTCCCTCCAGGCTAAGACACCGACAAGCCCCCTGCAAACTCATGGTACAGCCTCCCTACTGAACAAAGGTCAGACGCCATCCCATTGCACATGCAGAAGGGGATACAAAATAACTTGTCCTAAAGCATCTGCAGTGGACACAGTGAAAGTAAACAAAGTGGTTAAGGGGGAAGAGAGAAGGTACTCTTGGGCTGTGTCTACATTGGTGTGATCTTGCGCAAAAGCAGCCGCTTTTGCGCCAAAACTTGCTGCCTGTCTACGCTGGCTGCAAGTTCTTGCGCAAGAACACTGACGTTCTAATGTATGAAATCAGTGCTTCTTGTGCAAGAACTGTGATGCTCCCGCTCAGGAATAAACCCTCTTGTGCAGCTGTTCTTGTGCAAGAGGCCAGTGTAGACAGGCAACATGAATTTCTTGCGCAAGAAAGCCCTGTGGTTAAAATGGCCATCAGAGCTTTCTTGCGCAAGAGAGTGTCTGCAGTGCATGGATGCTCTTGCACAAAAGCACATCTCTTGCGCAAAGGCACATGCCAGTGTAGACGTTCTCTTCCGGAAGAGTTTTTGCACAAGAACTCTTCCACAAAAGAGTTCTTGCGCAAAATCATGCCAGTGTAGACATAGCCTTGTGGCTCATTCAGAGGTCGAGCGATAGGAAACAGAGTAGGAATAAATGTTCACCTTTTCCTCTCAAAACCTGACCAACAGGATTCTCCATCAAGCTGTGCAGTTCAGCATAGGCATTAATGATCTAGAAGGGAGGGTGAATAGTGACGTGGCAAGTTTGCAGATAATACAGAATTATTCAGGCTAAGACCGAAGCAGTAACTTACAAAAGGATCTCACAGATGAATTTGTGACAGATGAATTTGTGTTAAGAAATACGAAGTAACGTACAGTCAGGGTATTGGGGGGGGCACCTACAGACGCACTGCTAGGTTCTAAATTAGATATTACCATTTAAGAAAGATCTTGATGTCCCCATAAATTGGTCTCTGAAAACATCTGCTCAATGTGCAGCAGCAGTCAGAAAAAGTGAATAATGTTAGGCAGCACCAGGACAGAGCTAGAAAAGACAAACTGTCAATGCCACTATGTAAATCCACCGTGAGTAGTGCATTCCCATCTCCAAAAGAAGAGAGTGGAACTGGAAGGATTCAGAGAAGGGCAACAATAATGATCCAAAATACAGAAGGGCTTGTGTATGAAGAGAGACCAGCATACGCAAGGCTGATCTGCTTAGAGATGACTAAGGGTGGAGAGGACAGGGCTAAGCAAAGTGACTAAAGTGTAACTTACCCTTACAGAGAATATGTAGACCCAGGGATCAGCTGATAATGTTAACACAATAGACTTAATACAAATAGGAAAAGTACTTTTTCACACAACTAACCTGTCACCAGAGGATCAGGTGATGGTCAAAAATAAAACTTGGTTCAAAAAAGAACTGGATAAGTCTCTCGAGGGCTATTGTGGCTCTGGTCATTTTGGCTAACTCCATGCTTGGGACAAAGCTAAGAGTGGAAGATGCTCCTTAAGTGTCCTGGGCTACATCTACACTGGCACCCTTTTCCGGAAATGCTTAAAACAGAACAGTTTTCCGTTATAAGTATTTCCGGAAAAAGCGCATCTACATTGGCAGGATGCTTTTCCGGAAAAGCGTCCGTGCCAATGTAGATGCGCGTTTCCGCAAAAAAGCCCCGATTGTCGTTTTCGTGATCGGGGCTTTTTTGCGGAAAAGACTACTGGGCTGTCTACACTGGCCCTTTTCTGGAACAGTTTTTCCAGAAAAGGACTTTTGCCCAAACGGGAGCAGCATAGTTTTTCTGGAAAAACAATGACTATTTTACATTAGATCGTCATTGCTTTTCCCCACCTCATCACCCACAGCAAAGTTCTGGTGGTGGTCACTGTCAAAAGGAAACTGAGTAAGTGGGACCATGGTCTGACCACATAGGGCAGTTCTGATGTCCTTAAGACAAAGTCATGGCTGATCCCAGGTTCTGTGGAAATGCTGTGCAGAGCTTGGGGTCAGACTCCCCAGCTGATCCTGGGTTCCATGGAAATACCATGCAGAGCCTGTCTAATAGAGGCAGCAAAGGGTGGGGGAAGCAACTAGTCCTTAACATCCTTACTAAGAGCTACTAGTCACAAGCCATGCAAACATTTCAGAAGCGGGGTACCAGAATGCCCTGCTGGAAACACCTTGGCTGCATCTAGACTGGCAAGTTTTTCTGCAAAAGCATTTGCTTTTGCACAAAAACTTGCCAGCTGTCTACACTGGCCGCTTGAATTTGCACAAGACACTGACGATCTCATGTAAGATTGTCAGTGTTCTTGTGGAAATACTATGCTGCTCCCATTCGGGCAAAAGCCCTCTTGCGCAAATGCTTTTGCGCAAGAGGGCCAGTGTAGACAACGCGGTATTGTTTTGCACAAAAAGAGCCCCGATGGCAAAAATGGTGATCGGGGCTTTCTTGCGCAAAACTGCTTCTAGATGGGCACGCATGCTTTTCTGCAAAAAGTGGTTTTGCGGAAAAGCATCTGTGCCAATCTAGATGCTCTTTTCCGCAAATGCTTTTAACGGAAAAACTTTTCTGTTAAAAGCATTTGCGGAAAATCATGCCAGTCTAGACGTAGCCATTGGTATCAACACCCTTCCAATAATGGGAACATACTAACCCAGGTTCAGGACGACAGCACGATGGATAGTGGTATTTTGATTGAACCAACATGTACAAAGTAATGGGTGGCACACCCAGGTACATCAGATGTTAGCATCCTCGTTTGTGTGTAAAGATGTATTTTAAGGGGGCCAGCCTTGTCTAGCCTTGGGCTCAGTGGAAAGTCCCACTACTGACTGAGCTGAGTCCATTGCAACAAGCACACATCCTATCATAACTGTGGACATCTGATCCAGGGAACTGGGACGCTGCTTCATTGACAAACCTGGCCTGGTGTTTCTTGTCTGATTTTGTGTCATGGGTTTGCCTGGGGTCTGCTGTGCTGGCTATATGCTCAGAGCATGGGCAGCACACAGCAGGAGCACATGCATACAGCTAAATGTCTGATAACAGCTAACGGAGCAGTACTCCGGTGGTGAGGACTGATAATCCCTATCAACAGTTAACAACCTTTGACATTGTTAATTTGTTACGGGCTCAGGATAGACACCAGCTTCCATCAAAGATTTGTGGGTGTGAGGCCTACGTCATGAAATCAGCCTCCCTGTCTGATAAAATGAGATGCAAAGTTATGATCTAAACAGAAAGGAATAAGTACCCCACTGAGAACTCAGATTATGCCAGTCATTTATTTTGCATTATGGTATTTAGAACACAACACAAATGGACCTGTCACCTCTGCTTTGATGGATCTGCCCATTATGTCCTGTAGTAACTGCAGTGGTCTGTTACTGTTCCTAAAAACCTACATTGGTAACTAAGTTGTGCTTGATTATGCATGTCAGGGTGCTCATTTCACTCAACTGCTTAGGCTTTGTATGACAGATGTGCAAAGGGGCACTGTAGGCTCACACGTTCGCTGCACGTCATATTGCTTAGAGATGTTGAGTCATACAAAAAGACTGCTGCACTCAGCAAAGCGTTAACATCTATTTCTGACCAACACCTTGATTTTACATAAATTCTACTCCTGTAGCAGTCCCTGAAATAAAATGTTTCTGCAGGGTCTTTAAGGCCATTCCAGCACTATTGTGCAGTGTGGTCCAAACACTCAAATCTAGTCTAGCTGCACAGTGGAGGGAACAGGCACTTACGGTCAGAGAGGAACCGTGGCCCAGCTGGGAATAACCCTAGAGCGGACTCCTATTCTTGCTTTAATCACTAGAAAAGCAGATCACTTCAGGAAACTATGGCCCAACGAAAGGAATATTTCACCTACTTGAAGATGGTCTTGCTTAATGCATTGTGTTCAGTGAAGGCTGAATAAGTTTTATATTTCACCCTCAAATTCTTATTCTGACAATGGATAACTGAGCATGTTAAGCATCAGAAACAAACTATGTTTGAGAGATGTAATGCACTCTAAGGCACAATTGTTTGAACAGCCCATCTACTGTACTGAATTTTACATTTCAGAGCACAAGACATTTAATTCTATGATGGAGTCTTCTCTGGTTTCCTTATTGGTCTGGAGAATGAATTATCTTATTCCTCAAAGTAGCCTCCATTCCAGCCTGAACCCCCTTGGTTTAGCTGTGAAGAGTTCTTGTTTGCCACTTGCATACTACTTTGTCTGGCAGCCCACACTCCATAACAGCCTGGAGCTGCAGCCTGTTACTGTTGTGCTGCATGAAACCCATCTGAAACTGTCTTGTGCGTCTCCCTCTCTCTTTCTTCTTTCTCAAACCCCGAACAACAGATGGATCTGCCCTTGGGGTACTGGGCGCAGCATCTTCGCATCTCTTGGAGCACAGCCTTGCATCTAGCCTCCTGATAGTTGTTGGCTGTAAAATAAAAGAATGGAGATGCTAATCCTGCACTAGGGAGGAAACTACATGAACAAGGGGGTTCATCTAACCCAGTTACGTTTTTTCCATTGTGGATCTCTGCTGAAAAATAAATAAATTAAACCCGGAAGGAGAATGTTTTAAGAATTCTGGACAAGTGGAGAAAGCAGCATTTTTCTTCTTCAAAGTTTCAAAGCTCTACTAAGTGAATGTTCAGTTGACACTTCTGAAAGAACAGCCCTAATGTTTTGTTCAGAGTTACAAACATTTCTGTTATGAACATTCCCGAGGAGTACGGGGAGTTTAGCACAGAGGCCTGCAGGCGTCTCCCTCACTATTTCCATTGGCTGGAGATCATGGGAGTAGTGGAGACAGTGCCTGTAAGCACAAGGTGGCACAGAGCCACCTGTACCCTGCCCCCGGGAGCCGCACCAGGTAAGTGCCCCAATCCTCTGCCCCCTCCTCCACCCTACCTCCTTCCCACCCAGACCCCACACTCTCACCTTGCTCCTGCACCTGTCCACCCAGACCCCAACTTCCACCACCAGCCTGTTCTCTGGCAGCCCCCTCCTGCACATTGATCCTTTCCTTTTGACCCCACCCAGAGCCAGGGGGAAGAGGGGAGGGCACAAAGATCTCCTAGATCCAAGCCCCCAAAAGAATTAATCCGGCCCTGGGGGGAATCTTGGCACTCCCCAGAGCAGCTGGAGTGCGAGGGGAACTCTGGTGCCCAAGTGGTACGGGTGGGGTAAGCGTCTTTCTTTTTGCCATGTCAGTGACAGGTTTTGTTTTTTGTTTGCTTCTTGCTTGTGTGTGGCCCCAATTGATTTTTCTGTGGGCCAGTGGCTCCTGACCCAGAAAAGGTTCCCTGTCCTGTTCTACATACTGTCTTCCCCATCTAAAAGGGGGACCTCTCCTGGTGTCTGTGACTACACACATAGGGGCAATTTCATCACCCGCGTGGCCTGATCCTATCTCAGAAAATTGGAAGTATTACTTTCGTCACAGCTGGCCTGAGGAGGCAACAGTCCTAAAGCCTCTCCTGCATTTTCCTCTCTAGCTGGGGACTCACCCTGTTAGCCAAGAGAAGTAGGCATTTAAGTAGATATTCCTAGACTGAAAATAGGTGCTAGCTGCCACAAGGCTTGCTGGCCTGGCATGAGCACTGAGTCACGCCAGAAGCACCTGTTGAAACAGCACATAAACCCTTGGTATGATACACTGTGTGTACGCCCCATGCTTGTTATTTTCAAAGGAAGTTTGGAGCATTCGGCATAGGCACTGGATGCCCAAGGGATTAATGTAGGCCATTGCTAGCCCCCTGTGCCATATAGGCACAAGTAGGAACCGTTTCTTTTGCTTGTGTCTGCAAGGTATGGTCATTGTCAATTGCCCAGTTTTCTTTGCCAAGTGTGAGTAATGCCACCATCGCAAATACAAGTTAATGCAAACTTTACCCCACACTTTATCATCACTGCTTCTCTCTCCAGACATACAGAGAAGTACTGTCCTTTATTGTAACAAACTCTTCGGTCATACAGTAGTGGAGTCCAGTTACACTAAATCAAAGGCAATGTGGGGATATTTAAATCTGATTTTATACCTGCCTTACATTTGCCACTAAGTCATTTTGTGTCCTTGCCATCTTCCTTTTGCCAGACAGAAAGGGGGACGGGGCTAAATATAAAAACTAAAAACCTCTCCCCCACCCCTCCCCCCCAAAAAAGATTGCACATAGTACCTTGCAAGCATTTCTGTATTTCACAGGCTTGTTTCTGGCAGGGATCCTTCAGGGGCATATCCACAGAACTAGAATGACAGAAAATGTTACTGTACAAACAGTGGGGCATGGGTTTTCTCTAGGGGCTAAGGCTTTAGACCCTACGGAGCTCTGTTTTCCTGCTCGTGCACCCTCCTCACAATGGATAACTGGTCCCCATTCAAAGGTAGTCTGCTCCTTTAGGATTACTGCAAGATATACAAAAAATCCCTTATCCCCACAGGCTAACCACAGAGCCTTCACCCTATTCTCGTCCTCCACTGGCCCAGCGGGCAAGAGTGCTTTACAAACCCTAGAATGTCACTGGGGACAGCTAAAGTTAGGCAAGGAATGAAAAATGGATGATGGGTAATCTTAAAGGCCTCATCTTGTAAAACCTGAAGATGGTCAAATCTAATGCTCACCCTCACTGAATCTGAAGGATGCTTAAATGAACATGGCTGTTTAACAGTTCAATTCAGGTAAAGTGTATTATGCTCAAACAACTCCTGATGTACCAGCATTGCTGCAGTGAGTGGCACTGCTAGGACACAGCATGTGTCATAGAACTGCCTGTGGAGAAGGAATTATAAACAAAAGCGTTTTGTGTGAGCCTAAAAAAGTATGCCTCTTTTTAAGGATATGTTTTGGCAATTGGTAGATTAAAAGAGCTGAGCAAAAAATGCTGCAGGCAACCCTATTGGATTCAAGCCTTCTTAAAACAAGGCTTTGGACGCCAAATGTAACCTGACTGCCATCATGACACTTTGAGATCAAAAGGAAAGCAGACACAGAGGGGGGTCAGTAGCTGTATGGGAGACGCCAAAGAAAATGCCGATGCTGCAGGAAGCAGTGTTGGACCATCACTCTTCCAGTTGAGCCACCATTAAGCCAAAGTCCCCAGCCAGTACTAGGGGATGCTGAGGTGCTGTCTTGTGGAGAGGACACTCATGGTCATTAACAATCCTACGGCGCTTTGCAAAACAGATGGGGCATTGGCCCCAGTATCCTGGCCAAACTCCCGTCAGGGAAATTACATTCTGCCTACCTAAAACTGCCCCTTGCAGTTTCAACTGGACATGATAGTCTTCGTCACTGCCTGTCCTAAACTCTTGTGTGGTGCTGCTGTGTGCTGTTAAGCAGCTGCCACCTCCCACCTCAGCGGTGGGAGAATCATCTATTGTACAAAACAAACAGGGACATCTTCCAAGAGTCACCGCTCCTGAAAGACAAAAATTCATATTAAAGGACCACCACAGATAGTTAAAGAAGAGTAAGAGACAGGGGAAATGGCAACACTTACCAGGTTAATCACCAGGCATGAGTCTAAGCAGCAGCTCTTCAACTCCCCCAATCTGTAAAAGACAAGTTCAGAACCCTAAACCACTGTGGCAAAGAGCTAATATACCTCTATACAAATAATAAGCCTTTGCCCTTCTACAGAGCCTTTCCTCAAGGACTTCACCAACACGACTGACTCAGGCCTGCCACCAGCCTTACCATTAGGTGGTGCTGTATCTGCCAAACACGAGAGTTACTGTCCCTGTACCGCTCGCCCTCGGAAAGCTGCCACATGTGAGGCAGCTGTGATGGGGGAAGTTGGCTGGGTCGCAACGCCTCACCCAGGGGAACCCGAACTCGTTGAATCCGGGCCCTCAGGGTGCCTGCCTCCTAGGGGAAAGAACACAAGAGAAGACTAGTTATTTATTAGCAATGCAGTAAAGATATCCACAATATCAGAACTCTGATCACTGAGAAGCTTGAAAGTCACTTGCCTCTTCCACAGCCACGAGCCATGTTTTACGGCGTTCATCACAGTAGACGCCTACCCGTCGCACCCACAGATGGATGGGCGGAGCCCCGGCGTCCCCTCCTTCTGCCATTCCCTCAACCATGTGTTAGGACACTTCCACTAGGCATGCAGCATCAACACACAGGACACACGCATGTTTCCCCTCAGTTCTGAACAAATTCATGGAGCAAACTGTTAGGCCTGAAAACTACCTGGGTTCAAAGACGCCATTATGTGCTCGCAAAGAGTCACTAGCAATATACCCAAAAGTCAATGCAGGAAGCTCGGAAGATATCCAAATGTCATGAAATGCTCACACTTTGGGGCATACATGGCTGTTCATAGTTTGCAAGGTTTGGGATGAAAGGCGCTATATAACCATCATTGTATCTCTTTACAATCAGTGATACTTTTTCTATTAATAGTTGTAGTGAAGAAACAGGCATTGTGCACACAATATATTATTTTACAAAGTGTCTTTAAACAAGAGTCCAGAGCCAGTGGTGTTCATGCTCCCAAAGGCAGGTCTGGCAACCAACAAGAGGCGAAAGTAGCTTAGAAAGAGCCAGCATCGTTCCAGAAACAATCCTGCCTATACAGCATACAGCTCTGCAGGTCATCCGCACTTGTAGTGCTACCACTCGCAATCATCAGATCTCTGTCAAAGGCTGGGAGAGCTGCCCATTTACAAGCTTCTTGTGAATAGCCATTACTACTTTGTGCATTTCAGATCTTAGCTCCTAATTTGAAGGGTTGTCAATACCAGTGTGGGCAACAGAACGTTAGTCACTGAGGTGGCTTTTTCTTTAGGATTCTTGTTTAACAGCAAGTTTATCAGCCCACTGAAGACTGGTTAGCATATTGAAGGTCAAGAAAGTGACTCTTTAGAACTACATGAGGCAACCAAAACAGTGTATTCTTAGTTCTATTTTTAATGTGGAGGAAAAGAATTAAGAACTAATCAGTGTAACGCCTTCTGGATATAAACCAGAAGCAATTTCCCAGTGAAATACTGTGATCTCACCCAGAAAACTTGTGGGTGTACACGGCAAACATTGCATGTAAGTAAGCAAATCTGGGTACAAACAAATGAGAGAAGTGTTCAGTGAAAGAAAACATTAACTGTCTCTATGCAACATATGAGGGATAATACAGTCCCTTGCTATCCAGGTCACCTCAGAAATACTAAATGAATTGGAGCATTGGCACTTCAAGGAAATCAGGAATGAAGTCATTCAACATGAGGCCTGGTCGAACAATCTCTAAAGGATACGGTGGTATTGCTAGCACACCGTTCATGTTCATTCTGGAAGATCACAAGGCGTTTTACAGAATTGAACTGATTCACAGAAATGCGCAGAAATCACTTTGTCCAACACTGATATGTGGAAACGACCACGGTACACCTAAGTCAGTAGAACATAATTATCCAAGTTGGAATCTGGCCAGGATACTACTGCCTTACTCCATAATGACCACAAGTGCTCAAGAGCTTGATTTTATATGTCAGTTGAAAGACAGAACCTCCAATAGCATGGTTCCCCCACTACCACATTGGGGTATCAGTTCAGTTCACTACTGACTGACATGATTGGACCACCAGCTCTACTTCCTACAGCATCTAGGTTTTCCTTGGTGAGCTATCATCTAAGTACTGATTCATTTAGATCACAGCAGAAGGTAATGTGACTGCAACATCTGCAAAGTCTACAAATAAAACTCTGGTCATCTGAAGAAGTGGGCTGTGCCCATGAAAGCTCATAATACCAGCTACGTGTTTTGTTAGCCTGTAAAGTGCTACCAGACCATTTGTTGTTTTTTAAGTTTACAAATATTAGATTATGCTTGGAATTAAAAAATAAAGATTAATATTTATTTGGTATGATTGTGGTGCTAGTGGAAGGTACAGAATGGGAAATAGCTGTGCAAGTTTCCCTTTTAGTCTGGGAGTGTAATAAAGTAAAAACTCATTGGCTGTGCCTAAACTGGCCAGTTTTTCCAGAAAATCAGCCACTTTTCCGGAAAAACTTGCCAGCTGTCTACACTGGTCGCTTGAATTTCCGCAAAAGCACTGACCTCCTATTGAAATCAGTGCTTTTTGCGGAAATACTATGCTGCTCCCGTTTGGGCAAAAGTCCTTTTGCGCAGTGTAGACAGCTCGATCGCGAAAATGGCAATCAGGGCTTTTTTGCGCAAAAGTGATTTTGTGGAAAAGCGTCCGTGCCAATCTAGACGCTCTTTTCTGAAAATGCTTTTAACGGAAAACTTTTCTGTTAAAAGCATTTTCGGAAAATCATGCCAGTCTAGACATAGCCATTCTGTGGGCAAGTTAGTGACAGAGAAGTGCCAGTTGATTGGTACCTTTCTATCTTCTTGCCCACAGACTTGCACTTGCTTCCAGACTGTTTACTGGCCCACAAATGTGCTCCAACCCTGCCCAGAATTCCATAGGTTAATTCAGTCTCCATGGCCCACTGAGTCCTGGCCCTCTTGTATGAGACTGCCAACAAGATGCCAAATTAGAGATAGCTGTGGTCTTGAGGACGTGGATATCTGTCAACCGGAATTGGAGTAAGAAATGTTTTTCTTTAAAAACGAGAAAGCAAACACAGGAGAGAAACATGTACGTAATCTGAAAAAAGTAAAGAGCAGGAAAATTCATACCTAAAACCTTGAAAATAACTTGAAGAGAGAAAACATACAAAACTCTAATCTTGATTCTACTGAGAAGGCAAACAGCTTACAGCAGCAGAAAGGAGACTTAAGGTTACTTACTATTTATTTTACAATATGAGAACTCTTCCTTATTTTCTGCAGTTTGATCCCATATTGTTCCACATTCTAAATGGAATCATTACCCAGTCTGATATTTGCAGAATTAATGAACTGATCTGTCATCATTGATCCTACGTCCTAATCAATATGTTTGCAGAAAGGAGTGCAGATGTTCAGCCCATCTCAGTATCAGGCCGTTGAAGTTTAAAGGAGTCCCCGGGCACTGGCAGCTTTCACGGAAATGGCTGGTAGGAGGTCTAGCCCGTGTGACAAACAATGTACCAGCCCTTCAGATGGGTTCGGTCCCGAGTCTACAAGGGGGCACCCCGGCTGCATCTCAGAGGTTGCCAGGGCTACAGTGCACGGGGGCTAAGCGCTCTGTGCCGTGCGACACTGCGAGTGCTTAGCTGCAGCGCCGGGCCAGGGGCTGTCGGGTGCTGCCCCGCC